GTGCAGCTGGATCTGCTGCAGGAGGATCCAGACGTGGATGGAGGGCTGGAGCAGAACCGTGGCTGGACTTTTCTGGTCGGAGGAACATCATACAGGACGGTCTGCAGAGAGAGCTTTGGGACGCTTCCTCTCACTGTCCACTCCATCGTCCATCTACAGGGACTGCTGGGCTGGCTCAGACGACGGCTGTTACATCTCTAAGACATATTCAGAAATATGAGAGGAGATGGTTTATGGATCCACTGGTATAACAATTGTGACTCTTCAGCAAATAAAACCACAGTGTTGTTTTTAATAGAGGTTCCTACATAAATGACTTGCCTGTTAACAGTAGTGGTGGTCTGCTGGTACTTCCTGCAGGACAGAGCACCACTGACCTCCTCCACACACATCTTCCTCAGGCTCATCCTCCAGACCCACAACTTCACCAGCACAGAGGCAGATGTGCAGCACAGTGCATGCTGACCTGTAATAGATTAAAAAAAGGTTTTTTATTGAAAAATGTAAAACAAAACAACCTGCAGTACACTGGTTCTGTTCAGTTTAAAGAAAAGCAGCAGGGAAAACTACAGAGAATTTACATTTTTAAGACAGATCTATTCATTATTAGGCTTAAGTTGAATAAACAAATGCACACTGAAAACACTTCAATGCTATTTTATTAAAAAGCCTGTTTTTTAAAACGTTTTATCCTCATTTGATGCTAAATAAGAAATTCTACGGTCCAAATAAAATTAGAAAACATCCTGCTGCATTCAACATTTATAATGCATTTGGTTTATATTAATTACCTACATGATAATACTCTGTAGAAATGTGTTGTGTACGTTTAACAAGTTCATTCTGTAGCTTAAAACATACATGAAACCATCTAAAGTTAACATGTAAGTCCTGAAAGCTTCTAGAATAAACAAAGTTACTTTACCTGAAAACGTTGGTGAACAAACGCTGCTGATGGACGTGAAGCTGCTGTAGCTCCTTAATATTCCTGCTCCATTTTCGCTAGCTTTAGCATTTTTCCTCTGCGTGTAGCTGCCGCCACAGCTGTGACGGGACCTACGGGCCACCGTAGAGGTGAAGGCTAGACTGTCCGAATTCAGAGCCGCTGTGTTCCGGTCTTAGCGGTCTAGCAAGGACCCGGCCTTGCTAGACCGGCGAGGACCCGTACTCATAAGCATCCTTCCCATGGATTTGGACACACCCTATATCCTTGACTCTGTCTGAATTAATATAAAGTGTGTGTACCCCGAATAGTCAAAGAACATAAAGGTAATGCTAATGTGGCAAGGTGGAGAAACGAGGGCCCGGGCGGGATCTGATCCCCAGACTCCCGGGTGAGAGCTAACCGGTCAGCCAAAGGAACATCCCCTTGGCCAAGTAGCCAGGGCGCATGATCAATCGGGACACAGTGACAGGACGCTCACACTGCAACACCAAATCAAATATTCAAAGACCAATCAGATTGGTCATTCATATGGAATATCACATCTTATTGATCATTGTTTGAATGCTCTAAAGCAATTAAACTATAGTGATCCTGTTTCTCTTTATTGTTTGAATGCTGTTAAGCTGTTAGGAACAGTGACAAAGTGGCACTGCCTCTCTCTCTGCTGCTAAAGTTAAGGATAGCAAATGCTACGGGCTATGCCTGAGCGTGAACATGCATGAAGCAGCCTACTCGACCCGAGCAACTCTCTTTTTCTGTGATTTTACAGAAAAACAGGCAATCACAGTAAAAATGCCAGGGCTCATTCTACAGGACCAGGGCATTGCAGGAGAATGTATGAAGAAGAAATTTATTATTTCTATACATGTTTCGACTGTCAAACTTCCCTATAGTCCCTTTAATTAACATATTAAAGAGGCTTTTTGATATCTTTTACGGTTTTTCTGAAATCGCAGGTAGAAGCTGAGGTACGACTTGAAATTTTCAGAAAAATTCACAAAAGTTATAATGGGGAAAGATAGGAGCATCGACCCTCCCTTGCTCCATTTCTGGCATAGTCCCGAGAGAACCGTAGGTCCGATTGAAATGAGGCACACGCTGGCTTACAGCTTACGAATATACCTTCGTTTTGAGCTATAATTCATTAATGTACTCTAAACATTGTGATCGTACGGTTCATTTCTTTGAGAATATTAAAATAAAATAAAAATGCTTCCCACCACTCTAAACTGAAAATTAGACACAACTGTATCAACATACTTTAATATAGAAATGTTATTCAAAGTTTAAAAGAGTCATGTGACATTGTACATTGCTTTATTAAAGCAGACTCCTGTCATCTGTTACCATGGCAACACAAGGAACTACAAATCACTTTAACCAAGTCTCATAGGAATGAATATTAAAAAGCAGAATATTGAGCCATGAACAGACTCCTGTTGTTGATCTTTTTGAACTGTTTGTACTTAAAACTAGAAACAAGTTCAATGTGATTGACCGTCAGAAGGTGGGAAAGTGCCCCGCTCCCACCCAGCCCCCTGATTGGTTGAGAGAGGTCAATCATCTTCTGGCTAAATGGAATTACACACCCACGCATGTGAGACATCAAATCGATCGGCTTGGCCTAAGGAATCCATCCATCTACATATAAATCCATACATGCTTCTATCCATCCATCCATCCAATAAACCAGTGGTTCCCAACCTTTTTCCCAAGGGACCCGTTTTTTACCAGTAAAATTTTTGATGACCCCCTCCCATTCTCTCTTCCAGAACAAACATTATTAAGAAATGATACAATTGTTCAAGCACATTTTAATATGCTTTGATTCAATAGATAACAGTAATAGTAGGCTCCAGTACAGAACAAAGTCATTAACAAAACCAAACAGAGCATAATGTGCTTGACAGTTTGTATTACTTTTCTGAACACATTGTTTCTTGTAAACACTGATAAATCAATCATTCCTTTCAATAAACGTTTGACACATAAAAAATATCACTGAGCAAAATGTACTTAAATGTGTATATTACGGTTTATACTAGTTTATTTACTGTAAAGGCTGTGATTAATCAACCAGTCCTATCTTTAATGAACTTTTGACACTTGAAAATAAAACAGTGAGCTGAGCAAAATGTTCTTAAAAGTGTGTTACTTTTTCTGTACTAATTATTTCCTGTCTTATAATCAGTAAACTTTTCACTCATGAAAAAAAATGTGAGCAAAATGTAGGCTATAAACAAGTAATAAATGAAGTTTTAACCCCTTAAAGTGGAGAGGTCCTGGCGACCCACTGAGAGGCTTTGGCGCCCCCTTGTGGGGGTCGGGACCTCCAGGTTAGGAACCACTGCAATAAACCATCTAACATCCATCCAACAATCCATCCATCATTTCATTCATCCATCCCATATCAAGTCTGAACATATGCTAATCTATCAGTTTCAGATATCAGTAAATATTTCTAAATCCACAGTTCAGCCAATTGTAAAAATGTACCCGTTAAACTATTCTCATTCAAATGCCAGCTGTTTAACATTTTAAATTTAGAGTTTTTAATCAATGTTGAAAGATTAAAGTTTTCTGCTGTTTAGCATTTTTTATCCATTCTCCACCTGTATTCTGAGCTTTATTACACTTGTTGGTGATTTTTGCTTCTAAATATTTAAATACATTCAGCTCATTTTGACAGTTTAGCTTAGTTTCAGCTTCACTTCAGCTATTCAGCAGCTTCAGCAATCATTTTCTGAATTCGGCATATGCTGCTCATTTCACAGTTCAGCTAAATGTAAAAATTAAACTGTTAAACTAGTCCTACTGAAATAAACTGTGTTTAGACATTGTAGCTGTCCAGATTTTTATACAATGTTCCCAGATTTCAGTTTTCTGCTGTTTAAGATTATTTTTCTCTATTATTCACTTACTTTTTGTGTTTTATTTGCTTCTTGGTGCTTTTTGCTTTCACATCTTTCACTACATTCAGCTCATTTGACGGTTTAGCTTCGTTTCAGCTTCAGTTCAGCTATTCAACTACTTCAGCAATCAGTTACCAAATTTAGCATAAACTGCTAATTTCACAGTTCAGCTAAATGTAAAGATTAAACTGTTAAACTTGTACAACTGAAATTACAAGTGCTCAGACATTTTAGCTGTCCAGATTTTTATAGGCGACGGTGGCACAGGAGTTAAGTGCTCGCCCCGTAATCGGAAGGTTGCAGGTTCGAGCCCCGCTCAGTCTGTCGCTGTTGTTGTGTCCTTGGGCAAGACACTTAACCCATGTTGCCTGCTGGTGGTGGTAGGAGGGACCGGTGGCGCCAGTGCTCGGCAGCCTCGCCTCTGCCAGTAGCCCCAGGGCAGCTGTGTCTACATCGTAGCTCATCCCCACCAGTGTGTGAATGAGTGTGTGAATGGGTGAATGACTGATTGTGTTGTAAAGCGCCTTGAGGGGTTCCATGACTCTAGAAGGCGCTATATCAAATACAGGTCATTTACAGGCCATACAATGTTCACAGATTTTTTTGCTATTTGGGATTATTTTTCTCCATTCTTCACTTACTTTTTGTGCTTTATTTGCTTGTTGGTGCTTTTTGCCTCTACATCTTTCAACACATTCAGCTCATTTTGACAGTTTTGCTTAGTTTCAACTTCAGTTCAGCTGTTCAGCAGCTTCAGCTTACAGTTTCAGCTATCCAGCATTCAAACCGCATTTCTACAAGAAATGCAAATTTTTCTAGGTTAATTTAAAATGTAGACAATCCATAACGCTACATAGATGTGGGAGGACTGATAGTTTGATAGTTGACTTGTTGAATAAATAAGCAGAAAATATATGAGGAAACCACACTCACTCACTCACTCACTAGCAGTTTTGTAACAGTACCTGTATTCATGCTGTCCAGATCCTTATGGTGAAATACTCATGATAATCGATGGTCCTAAAGTGGTAGCATGTTTTAGTTAGCCGAGTTTAGCCAACAGCTGCAATAGAAACAAAGTAGAAGAGCTGTTTAAGATGTTTCAAAATAATGCTTGAGAATAAAGACCCAACTGTTTAGTTCTAATCAGCTGAGAACAGATCCAGTCTGGAAAAGAGAGCGTTTGGTGATCTAAGTAGATGGAGTAGAGCGATCCACGTCTCCGCCACAGTGCACTGGCTGTAGTGAACCATGAAGCGTACCGTACAGGCCAAACATTTGGACACATTCTCATTCAATGTGTTTTCTTTATTTTCATGACCATGACCATTTACAAAGGGGCCAACAAGTGATAAACACCTCTGGGAACTCATTCAAGACTGTTGGAGAACCATTTCAGGTGACTACCTCTTGAAGCTCATCAAGAGAATGCCAAGAGTGTGTAAAGCAGTACACACATGCCTTTTTTGTTACGTACATATCTCCACATGTGTTCATTCATAGTTTTGATGCCTTCAATGAGAATCTACCAATGTAAATGGTCATGAAAATAAAGACAACACATTGAATGAGCAGGTGTGCCCAAACTTTTGGACTGTACTGTACATCCATCAAATATCCAACATAAAGCTAACTTCACCACAGTCTCACTACTTTAAGCTGCTGCTGCCTCTCTGGTGGACTGCAGTACTACAAGTTCATTCCACGCTGTTTTCCAATCAACAAGAAGATCTGGCTGCAGACATCTGAAGTTGTTTTTGTTTTCAACAAAATTTTATTTAGAACTGCATAGTGTGTTTTTTTTTCTCTTCAAAACTATAATGCGTCAACGTGCTAACGAAACTTTTTTGAACGTGGGAGTGCACTGTGTTCAGTGTTATGTTTTATGAATGTGGTGGACAGTGTACAAAAGTGGAGATTTTGATCTTTTATTCTCATGAGCCGCTTCTGGTATTTCCATTTGCAGACGGTCCCTAAGCGCTCCTCGCAATGCGTCGCAATCAGAGGACGGGTCGTTTTAAAGAAAACAAGGATGTAGCTTGTTGATACCTTGCCACGATTCTGAAAAGATTTTATATGTTTCTACAGAACACTCTAATCCGGAGTTATTGAGAGGGAAATGTCGAATCTGTGAATATCATGCTAATTTTACTTCAAATCCTGCTAGATAGCGGAGCAGACCAAGCAGAGATCCGCACGATGATGATAAAGGGAACCTCTTCAACTTGAGGGTAAAACAAAGGCAGGCAAAAGAACAACAGCAGACCCAGAGGGTGGGAAGTCTATAAAACTTAGTGCTGACCTTATTTTGGAGCTCCGACTGTCACGAAGACTGCATAATATCTTCTTTTGTCCTGGAAAAGACTCACACCAAGTTGTTGAGAATAAAAATAAGAACATGAGCCAGTAAGAATATTCCTACAGTAGCAGCAATTAGACGATTTTGCTGATAAACTCTCTCGGAAATGGAGCAGAAGACTGCACAGTTGGATCATTTGTTCACAGACCAACACAACAAGCTAACCGCTTCCCGTTTTCTTCTCATTATACTTTTGGGCGGTTGACAACAAGCGTAAAGGTGCATTACCGCCACCTACCGGACTGGAGTCTAGAACAGGCTGAACAGCAAAGTACTCCAACTGAACAAATACATACATGTTTATGGTAGCGTGACTTTTATTTATGATGTTCTGTTATCCAAAACCGATCAAGTTTCTTTTTGCTTGACATCACGACCTTTAAAGAGTTTGAAACGTTTTTCTGCGTCAGATAAAAGCTTTCTGTAAATATTTTGGGAGAAACTTTTTTGTTCTGTTGGTTTTATAAGCTGCAGAAAAAAATTACTGACAAATATGCTTTGGAAATGTAATTTGGTTTCGTGTAACCTGATAAAAATTAAATGAAAAACAGAGTTTTTAGGCTTTCTTCCAGCTTGAGACTAACTGAACCCTAAAGACAGCAAACTTTACCAAAGTCCTCGTTACTCTGCAAAAAAGAAAACATCAAACAGAAAAGGGCAAAGGACACAAACTTCAGATCCAGAAAAGTTTTCAAGCGGAAATAAGCTTTTTGGTTCTGAAGACCAGTCAAAGTAAAACCACAAAGAACGGTGCTATAACGGTACTCTCAGCAATGAGACAGGGATCGTTACCCTGCAGTACCAGTCTGTTCTTGCTGTGGACCATGACAGAGGGTCATCCACCCCACACACCTTGAGTGATTTCAACTAAGTTCAAACCAAAAGTTTAGGCCTAGTCCACACGTAGCCGGGGTTTTTTAAAAACGAATATCCGCCCCTCCAAAAACTTGCATCCACACCACCTCGTTTTAAAAACAAACTCTGTCCACACGTACCCGGATAAATACGTTGTTAAGGACATGCCAGACATGTAGGCGGCAGTACTTCCCCCGTTCTTAACCTCGTCCTTCGTCTGTGGTCTTCCGCAAGGAGCAGTAATTCCGCTTGCAAATATAAACAAGCAAAAAGCGCTTGGACAGTTGATGGATCGGTTAGTGACAGAGCGCAGCTCTGAGGGCTTCCATGATGCCGGCTAGTGTAAACACAGGTCGCACACGTGATGTCAGCATTTTTTTGTCGCGGAAAGTGACGTTGCGGACCTTAAAACTCCGGTTTTGTCCGTCCACACGCAGACACCCAAAACGGAGAAAACGTAGATCTTCACTTTGGCCGGAGTTTTTAAAAAGATCCGTTTTCATGTGAAAAAACTCCGTTTTCGTGTGGATGACAGGCCAAAACGTAGAAAAATATCTACGTTGTGGCAGATCCCCGGCTACGTGTGGACAGGGCCTTAATAGCAACATGTTTTAGCCAAACCCAGCTAGCTTCACTAAAAAAAATCACGTCAAAAACAGCCAACCCTTAACACAAAGGCATAAAAACATTTATCATGATAAAAACATAAATAAGTTCCAGGAGGTGACCGGTTTAGTGATGAGTATGAGTCTCACTGTTCTACTAAGGCTGAACTACAGCAACTAATCTCAGGTGCAAAACAGGGCTAACTTGAACTGATTTCTATGGCGTCAGATGGGTGCCAAAACGCCGTGCACGCGGTCCACATCGCACGTGCGAACGGGACTCGCGCGTGGAAGTTAGAACCTCTCGAGTGAAAATATACATGGCGAGAGGTCATTTGTACTCTGAGAGGGAGCAAACTGTGTCTGTGAGCGCACAAGGATGTGCACAAGTGACAAACTTGCGTGCGCACGTTGGCCAACGAGCACACACACAAGGCAGAGGAAAACAGTTGGCGGCAGTCTCACTGCGGGTGGCAGCCTTTCTGCGCGCTCGGTTTCCGATTCTGCTCCCTCGGCTGTAGGGAGTTTTGGCACTCTGGCCTGTGGCTGATCTTTTCTGTCCTCTGATTGGTACGTTTTTTTCACTCCTTACCTTCTACCTCATTGGCCCACTGGTTTCCTCTCGGAGCACAATGGGGGTAGCTGAAGAACAAATTTGATTCAAACTTTAGTAAGTACTTTTATAGCTCAGCTGGTAGAGCTGATGGCTTTCACTCGGAGGAACTGGGTTTGAATTCAGGCTAGGACAACAGATGACATATAAGGTTATATTTATTTTTATTCCAGTGATATCTTTTACAGTTATGACCGTTCAACTGTCATTAAATGTCCGAATGTTTGCTGGAAGTGCAGTTGAACTTGAGGAAAGCATTTGACTCTGGAAGAGAGGGGAAGATGGCCATTGACACCTCAGCTCATTGCAGTCAAGAATTACTGGTGTTTGGGTGGTCCTGAACGTGTTGTGATGCCCCCACCGTCTCATTGGGTTTTCATTTGTGTTTAATTGTGTTTTATCTTCTGTTGCAGGCAGCTTGTTAAGCAGCCTTGGAGGCACCTGGGCTCAGGGTGTGGTGCTGCCTATAAAGCCCACTGTTTTTCTGCTTTCACTGGGTCTCTCCTGTGTGGTGGAGAGTCCTCTCTGGCCATTTTCTGTTCATTAACTTGCTTTAGTAAATCCTTACTTTGGTTAAATAAATCAGCTGTTAAACCCCCACCCCTCTGTTTGGTCTCCTTTCTTGTTACAGCCCACCACTCCTGGACTGGGTTGTAACAATCTGCAGACAGATTTCCGAGTATCTCCTCCGTTGGTACACAGATCCTCACTGAGCCAAGTACTGTGAACAAATAGTTGCTCCATGATGTTATTATCCAGCAAGGTCCCGTTTTTTGGAAACAAGGGTGAGGTAATGACAAAATAGAAAAAACTTGTTGATAGGTTGCAGCATATGGCCTGTAAATATGGGGTCTCTATGTGCCTGTCAAACACTGACCATGGATGGTAGAGAGCTCAGAAGCAAGCACAAAAAGCGAATCAGGATGTCATATGTTGCAAACCGAAAGAAATTGAATACATGTTGATGTAGATGTTCATAATTAAAGACAACAAAATATGTATGCCCAAAGGGGCAATATTTAAATAAATTATCATTTAGATTATTTATATGCATCATTAAAATAAAAAAACATGTTTTGAAATAAATAAAGTGCACCAGAATTGACTCAGTCCATTCAAGAATTCTAAATGGACAATTATGTAACTCATCAATTAATTATTTGAAAGGATAATTTGTCAATTAAATGCTGAAAAAAAGAAACAATACATTAATGGGGCAAGAACTTTTAAAACAGACCTACACCCACACGTCTATTTTTACCTGGAGTCACCTCTCAAGAGTGGCTGATGTAATATTACAACTTTGACAGAATACAAATTCTCTCTCTCTCTCTCTCTCTCTCTCTCTCTCTCTCTCTCTCTCTCTCTCTCTCTCTCTCTCTCTCTCTCTCTCTCTCTCTCTCTCTCTCTCTCTCTCTCTCTCTCTCTCTCTCTCTCTCTCTCTCTCTCTCTCTCAACCGAACCCCCACTCTAAGGGCCTTCCCGGTGTATTAGTGACTCATATTGTAATGCTCCTGCTCTAATCACTCTATTTAAGTACAACCACGGGCATAAAGTTTACAATCAGTAGTTTTATTTCAGTATGTATTTTTCCAGTATCAAAAAAATAATAATTTTATAAGGTTAAAGCCATCTAGCTTATATACACGTTTTAAAACACTGCCCAGCAAACATTTGGACATTCAATGACAGTTGAACGGTCATAACTGTAAAAGATATCACTGGAATAACAAAAAAATAAAAAACTCAAGTGTTTTCTGGTGATCTTCAAACATGGATCCTCCGAGTGAAAGCCATCGACTCTACCAGCTGAGCTATAAAAGTACTTACTAAAGTTTGAATCAGATTTGTTTTTCCGCTACCCCCATTGTGCTCCGCGAGGAAACCAGTGGGCCAATGAGGTAGAGGGTAAGGAGCGGAAAAAAACTTACCAATCAGAGGACAGAAAAGATCAGCTACAGGCCACGCCTCCAGAGTGCCAAATTTCCCCACAGCCGAGCGCGCAGAAAGGCTGCCGCGCGCATGTTTTCCTCTGCCATGTGCTCGTTGGCCAACGCGCGCACGCAAGTTTGTCACTTGTGCACAACATTGTGCGCTCACAAACACAGATTGCTCCCTGTCAGTGTACAAATGACCTCTCGCCATGTATATTTTCACTCGAGAGGTTCTAACTTCCACGCGCGAGTCCCATTCAAACGTGCGATGTGGACCCGTGCACGTGGAATATGCATGCACGGATTTTGGCACCCATCTGACGCCATAAAATTGTGGCTGCATGTAAACAATGTAAGCCCCCCCCCCCCCCCCCCCACACACACACACACACACAGAGAAAATTTTCAGTCAGATGAGCATTTTTTGCTTCATACATACATATATATGTGTGTGTAATGACGGATTTGATTACATTTTATTAAGAACCATAAGACATAAAAAATTCATATCTGGTATGAATCCCATCTTACGGACGCTGGGTTATTTAAATCAGAAGATTGGATCTTTTTAGTACAGGGACTTTCTAACAACACTTTGCATTAACTGAGAGACAAGAGAAGAGGGAGACTTTCAACGTTTAAGTAAATTTATTACTAAATAATTTTAAACAATTTAACAAGACTACCTCTCTAATGATGGATGTTTTGTTGGAATGAAGTGTGAGGTGAATGGTGTGTGTGAATGATGTCTTATTCAGAACCTTCGCATCCGGAGAAGCAAAGTTTGAGTGGGAGATGATGTTTTGCTCCTAACTGATCAGAGTTTGGGACCCGTAGTCATAAACACATGAGACGCCATTTTGTCGCATCCACTTACCCTCAGTGAGACCTCCACGATGGATCCAGAATGTCCAGGTCCTCGGACCTTCCTTCCGGTACTGGAGCCAATGGTACAGCGTCACAGCACGACAAACTAGTCCTTGGATAGTCTCCAGGTAAAAAGCGACAGGTGTTTCACAGCGTCAAAAAGGGGACCCTCCTTGGGTCAGTGAGTTCAGCTTTATTCTGAAAGGACCCGTTGCTTGTTGGTAAAAACAACAGATTTTTCCCAGCTTGAATGGTTCTCAGCTTCAAAAGAAAAGTACAGATGGCCTGTCCATACTTCACTTAACATGCGGTGAACTTCATGGGATCTTGAATACTGAACTTAAGATGGCGTTGGAACTGTTTTATTAATCTGGATGTTTTTGATTCTGGATGAATCAAAGCTGACAGATTTCATAAACACCACAGAGACTCACCACACTTCAGAATAGGAAGGTTCTAATTGGATTAGCAACAGCAATGTGTCATGTGATTATTTACCTTAGTGCGGGGGTCGGCAACCCGCGGCTCTGGAGCCGCATGCGGCTCTTCCATCCATCTGATGCGGCTCTCTGTGCTTGTAAAATAATGAATGGCTATTTAAATAAAATGCTTTATATTTTACTGCATTAATTTTTCATCTGTATGCCAATTCTAATTGTAAATATTGTCTGCGTAAACCTGAACAGTTCCAACCCGGTCTTACTGTGAGACCGGGTTGACGGGTCACGCTTGTGCGTAATCATATAAGTGCTTTCTGAGCTGAAGAGGATGTGAGATTCTGGGATTCTCCTCAGACAGCTCCTGGATGTGTCGCCACATTGGAGACAGGAACAAGCACTATTCAGCCAAAGTTTCATAGTCAGGGAACATTTTGTAAGTGACTCTTCCAGCATGCGCTCTGGTTCTGCGACGCGCTCCAAGCCCCTCTCCACATCTTCAGCTCTCTGTGCACCGTACGTACGCGCTGACAGTGAGCTGCGCTGAGCAGTGTCCAGCTCAGATGTTCAGACTGGGAATCTTTTCTTGAGTGATTTAGCTACATCTGCGATGTGCGTAACAAATGAAATGTCAGTTCGTCTGCATGCGTCGGGGTAATTCTTTCTATTCTTTCTCCTTCAAAATAAACGGTCAAATACGGGAACTATCCGGTCAATGCAAGCCCTGCTTTTAACTGTTCTGTTTTCTTGTGAAAATTGTGCAAAGAGATATAATTTAACTTGATTAACACCAGAGCCAGGCACACTGCGCCGTTATCTCCGTCACTGTAAATGAGTGAAAAGCAAAATGATCAGATCCTTTTCTGACCTTCCCCACCTACAAAGTTTAATTACAACAATCAAACGTGACAGAGCCTGGATTTGTATTCTGAACAGTCTAAACATGTTTTAAAAAGAAACGTATGACAAAAGTGGCGCCTGCTCAGTAAAACCACCAACAGGGTGAAAAATATCAAAATATTGTAGGCAGAGACGGGCTACAACTTCTGGATCCATTTTATATAAATCGTTTTATTGATTATCGTCTCATGAAAGATAACTTTGACGTACACGAGAGACCGGTACTGGCTGCTGTCACCTGTTGTGATTGGTTAAAGCAGCTCTCTGCTGTCTGAGGGTAGGCCCCGCCCACAACGCCACGGCTGCTGTGGCTCCCAGTGTTTTCTTTACTGTGGAAAACGGGTAATAATGGCTCTTTGATGGGAATAGGTTGCCGACCCCTGCCTTAGTGTATCAGTGTGTCTAGTGACTATAATAAGTCATTTACTTATTAACTCATTCACTGCCATTGACGACTAAAGTCGTCATTTCAGATCCAACCGTTCACTGCCAATGACGACTAAAGTCGTCATTTGCATTTTTTTACTGTTTGAGCATCGGAACGAGCCCCCACGCTGAGAGAACAAACATCTCAGCCCTGAAGCCGATCTTCATCTGCATACGTCACAGATCACATGATCAGGAAGCAACACATCCATGTGTTTGGAGATCGTTTTGGGCCGTTCCTGTAAAAAAAAAGTGAGGCGCGAACCGGAAAAGCGTCTGCCGATCACAATTCGACAACGGATTATGAAAGAACGGATAAAGCTCGAAACACGCGGCTTCTTCATGATGTAAGAGGTGAGTCTCCTCTTTGTTTTGGTTGTTTTGGCGTTGACATCATGCTAGCGCGCAACGTTCTGTGACTCTTAAAAAGCAGTAAAAACGGTGAGAAACGCTGACAGCGGAGGC